GGATTGGGTCTTCCTCTTATCTGAGTATCAGCAATGCTTGCTGTTGCTGCTGCTTGGAGCTTTCCTGAGTGCACAGAGGTGTGAGGATGACCTAATACATGTCAGTTTCACTGTGGTCCATGGTATTTTTAATAATAGTGAAACTGATCAGAATCTTGTTAGATACTCTGTTCTTACTTGGAAGAGTAGTGGTGGGCCATAGGACCTGTTTGTTATCTAAAAAATGTCACCACATAGGTTTACATTTGCAAAGTTAAAAAAAACGTAAGTGCTAGAAACTTAACTTCTCTTTTACAAAAGAACAGGTTAGATTCTGCAGGAATTGATGTCTTACCTCTTTCTCCCCTCTGGGGAGAATTTCCTAATTGTCACTGGTTAGTGAGTGATTTACTCTTGTCAATCCTGCTCATGCAAGGAGTTCATCAAGAATTGATTGACTCGAAAGGTTATAAATTATATTTATTCACACTTATCACAACATTGTGTTGGACAGTTCTGCAACTGTAGTATATTCAGGATGAGTTCTTGAAGAAGTGGAAATGCTGGTTGGATAATTTTATTTTGACAAACCACTAATGTGCTCAAAAGGCTTGTTTATACAATGGTACCACTAGACATTTTTTTTTAAGTCCTCTGTTTTCATTTTGAAAAGCTAACAGGTTCCAGGCTCCCTGGGAGATGAAGGATGCCGCTCAGGCAACATGCTTAATACTAGGGAGCAGAAATGGGGGGGGGGAGGGAGGGAGGGAAGAGGCATACTCTGTTTTGTTCTGAAACAACTAGGTGGGTCTTGTAGCAGCATTGAGGAGCAGCAAATAAGAGCTCCATTGAATTTCAGATAAAGGGTTTCTTGAGACCTGGAGCCCACAGTGCTGGAGATCAGATCGTAGGTCCTCCTCCAAGTTATCACAATATATTCTCCCCGTCCCTCAATCCCCATATGTATAAACTATATACCCTTTTAAATTGGCTGTCTTTCATTCCACAGAGATTAGTCTAGCATTGTGCATAGTTTGCCCTTTTGTCAGAAGCTGGGAATGGGTGACAGGAGAGGGATCGCTTGAGGATTACCTGCTCTGTTCATTCCCTCTGGGGCACCTGGCAATGGCCACTGTCAGCAGACAGGAAACTGGGCTGTAGGGACCTTTGCTCTGACCCAGTATGGCCGTTCTTATGTTCTTGTCATGAGAGATGTATGAAACCAGTATGATCTAAGGTTTGGAAAATGCTATATTTAATACAGTAATTTGCACAGTTGTATTTCACAGTAATTTCCACAGATCCCTCACCACCATTAAATCACCACTTGAAGAATTTTAAAATAAAATAGTAGAAAGATAATTGTAGCAGAGTTTAATGTGGCTGAAGGAAAATATAAAGTAGCATTCTGCCAAAGTGTGTTTAAATGTGATGGAGAGTGCTGGTATTTCTTTTTGGATATAGTTGTGATTTACTTTGCCATTGGTTCATGAAGGGGATGCGGTACTTGTATCTTCCTTTTACTGTAAAGCTATGCGACTGAAGAATTTCTTGGAATTACCACGTCTTACAGAAATATTGTTCAGAGTGACATTATTTTTCAGACTATGAGCAGTCCGGTGGCACCTTAGAGAGTAACAAATATATCATGAGCTTTCGTGGATAAAACCCAACTCATCTGTTGAAGTGGGTTTTACCACAAAAGCTCAAGATACAATATATTTCTTAGTCTCTAAGGTGCCATAGGACTACTTGTTGTTTTTAAAGTTAAAACTAACATGGCTACCTTGTGAGATGAATTTTCAGGTTTCCCTCCTCCCTTACTTTCCAGTAAGTGGTCTCTGCTATTCACTTGTTAAGTTTTAGTTGGAAGTGTGAATTTGACTGCAGGGATAGCAGGTTGGGCTGGGGGGATTTGTTGCAGTTGTGCACATTTTTCAGCTAGAAGATAGCAGCTCAGTCAGGAAGTTCCTCTGCATGAGTTCCTATTTGCATGCCTCTGGGAATCAAAGAATTTCCACCCTTTCAGACAAGTATTTCCACGCTTATGGTAATATTGCATCCCAGATGTGCCTGTTTTAAACAATCCACCTCTGTGCACTCATTGCTATACTTACACTTGATTTCAAATCAAGAAGTGTGTGTGTGTGTGTGTGTGTGTGTGTGTGTGTGTGTGGACAGACACACACTCCTCTCACCATCCATCTTCTCTGGCAGTCAGTCTTTAGAATTCAACACTGTCCTCTTTGTCTGCAGCATATTCATTCTCATTAGCTTCTTGGCAAATGTTAATAACGTTGGTTGGCTTGCTAATGGGTTGTTCTCCAAGACAGTTCAGTTTCTCATACATGGGAGAGATGACTTTGGAATGACACCAGAAATTCAGTTATCCTCAGCTTTTTTGTACAGGACCACTTCCAGTTTGGCAGACTGCCTTGATACCTTTATATACAGAGGTATGCTGCGCCTGAGCAGACTGGTAGTTCTAGGTCCTGTCAGGAGGCCCTCAGCAACTTTGGGCAGCTTAAAGGATTCCACCAATACAGATCTCATAAACTGTGCTACATTCTATGCTACCATCCATTTCTGTGAAGTAGCACATTGGGGCGTATTTTAATACATCTCTTTTTGCTGAAAATAAAAATACTGGTAAGGGATTTCCTGTAACCACAGATGTTTACCTCATGGATGCCTGATGGATAGAGCTTATTATGAAAAGGAAGAAAGCTGCTGTTAACATCAGGCAGACAATACTTGTTCGTCTGAAGCCCAGCTAAGCCATTTGTCCCAGCCATTGACTTAGTATTTGGAGCACAACCTGGATGATTGTTGGGTGAAGGATGCGAGGCTTTGTACAAGTGTGGCATGGAGGATAATCCAGTTGTCATGTTACTTACTTCTCTTTTGAGCCAACTGCATACAAGCATTATTGGGATTTTCTCTGTTCTTTATCTGGTTATTGTTAATGGGTAAAAAGAGTATTTGCTCTCCTCTTAAAAATGAATATATTTACACAACCTATTCCACATGTTAATCAGTTTAACCAGAGTTGCATAATTACTTGCTAGTATGAATAAAGATGTAAAATAGTTCTGTGACAGTACAATTTTCCAGGTGTAGGGAGGGGAAAGCATTGCATCTGTAATTATATAAATGTTGGGTGATGATTGCCTTAAAAATTAAATGTTTTTCCTATTTATACTTGGCAGGCAAATTAACACACTTATAAAGACTTAATTTAACTATCCAAATGTTTTTGTAGTTTATAAATATTTATGGAAAGGAATTCACAGTGTGAAAAGATTAGCTACTTGCTCCAAGTGGGCAGTACTCAGTTTGACTAAAATGGTGGTATTTGCATTAGAAATTAGCTTGTTGTAATTGTTTTCTCCTTTCTGTTATGTCCTTGTGTGTAGTTGCTTACTTAAATTGTTTTTCTTTTTATGGTGATTGATTAACTACTGTTTAATATAAGGCTGTACATTTCTAATCAGTTGACAGGACCCCTAAATAACTCTGTAATGGAGTCAAATGTACAAATCTGATGGTGAAGTGGGAATACTATATCATTTCCCCCCTTCCCCCACTGGATTAATAATATGCATCTGGGATTATCCCATTTAAACTGTAGTTTAGTGGACAGCATTCTTTTAGTTAAAGTTTCTGTATTAATTTTGGGAGAATTCCCCAGAGTTTTAACATTATTTTAATATTCAGTGATTCCGATGTGCTAATAATGGATGCTTTATATGTGGGTATGGAAAATGGTTTTGCAAAGGGTTTTTTTTTTTTTGTTACAGGATTACATTGCCCAAATTGAATTACTCTGTATTACAATGAAATCAGTGTAACAGAAATGACAGTATTGTTTTAATTCTGGTTTATTAGGGCCATGTGTCAGTCCTGTGTGTCAAATTTGAAAATTAATCATCTCTGAGAGAGAAGAGAAGGGAAATCTAGTCTTACTCAACTAACTACATGAATAATTCTGTCACTTAGCCAAACTATTTTTACTACTATTCTAATAGAAATGTGAATTAATAAAAGGAAACATTATTTTCCCTTTCAGCCTTTTCCTCTCATTGGTCTCTGCCAAAAACAAACAAACAAAAAGGCTGGGGGATGTTGCTTCATATTACTATTTTTTACTTTAGGTTGCTTTCTAGCAACAAACTTTTTCCCGAGCTGCCTTCACTTCTTAAATATTAAAGATATTTGACAAAAAATATTCAGAGGGAGTGCAATGCATTTGCTTGAAGTCTTGGCCATTGTTAGCCAGTTTCCAGAACTTGTCTGCATGTAAAAAGAAGCAAAAACTTATGATTATTCTGAATTTCAGCTTCTCTCGCTGTATAGCTAGAACAGCAATGAATAAAGAAATTTGTACTCAAAATTATTTAGTTCATTGTGGAAATTCCAAAATTCTCTTGTACTATAATGGTGTAATGGAGAAAATAACATGCAGTGTTCAGCAAAGGAATGTAGCGCACAGTTTAACTGGGAAGTCTTGTATTTACTTTATGATATCGATGTGGAAAAGCAGTGATGTTATAAGGCAGCAGCTGAACTAAGGCTTAATACTCATCCTATATACCATGAACAAAAACTTATAAATAGATGGGATATTTAAAAATCACAAAACTGGGTTTGAACTGAAGTGATTAACCTGAAAAGAAACAGATGGGAGTTTGGTATTTTATAACACTGATTTTATAGGTTTGTTTATCTGTTAATTTTGTCACACATCTTGTCATACATGATGTGTAAGCTGATTTGTATGTTCTGCAGTGGAAATACAGTTGGATCTGTGTTACATTACTTGATCAATAATTTAAAAAAAAATCTGCTATTAATCATAACCACCTCCAAAATCTGTGTCTATTCATTTGGAGTAGAAATTCCATTTCTTAAGGTCAACCCATAGAAAATTTAATGTTTTTGGGGCACTGAAATGTAATTTTTGGATTGGTAATTTATAGTTTTGAGTTAAACTTGGACCGTGTGCATTTTGTTTTAACAGTGTTTTGTTAATCTACATGCCCATCTGACATGACCTTCAGGCTCCCAGTAAGTGGTCAAAGATAATCCTTCTGTGCTGCACGGAAAATATGTAACTGCACAAAAATTAAGAGTTGTGAAGCTATGAAAATGCATTTTAGTCATAATGGAAATCCAGTCTTTTCATTCTCAGCATTCAGTGTGGTACATGAGGCAACAAAATTCGCTGTGCACTAAGTTTAACTGGGAAGTACTCTGAAATGAAGTAACTTTGGATCATTGAGTGATTCATACTTTGTTTTCATCACTATTGAAGAGAATGCTTTAGTTGCAGAGAATTGAGGCTGACAATGTGATGACAATGTAATACTACTAAAACTCGGTACTTTCTCCTTTAGCAAAAGTAAGTTTGTCTTGCCATGGTCCAGTCTGTGCTGTCAAGTCAGTGACATCTTTCTCTTCTGGAAAGAGTAGCCCAATATCTGGGTTGGACATGCTAATTTCCTAATTGATAGCTCAGGACAGTGTCTGTCAAAATCTGAAGGATTCTGGTGGTTTCTTTGCATTTGTGAAGACAAACTGTAAAGTTTTCTAATGTGTCTACCCTTAGCATTTATCCTAAGCATGCCAGGATAAGTCATTGAAAGTGTTAGCAAAGGGAGAGAACTAAAAATTGAGATAAACTTGCTTTTTTGTTCACGATTCAAATCTTGTAAGCATTTCCCCTTCTTGTGAGTATGAGAGAGGAGTTAATGGCAAGGGAAACCCATATCATCACAGAGCAGTCTATAAAAGCACAAATCCATTGGTGGGTCTTAAATGAAATGCATTGATTTACAGCTTCATGAAAGATGAGCTGTGGATTTTCAATCACTTCCTTTCCGGCAAAAAGCTAGTATAGGAAACAGTGAAGCCGTCAGGCAGTAGGTATAATGATTTGCATTGATGTGATCGGACCACTATTTTTACCAATCGTCAGAAGGCTCCAGACAGGCAGGTTGCAAAACAATATGCCCATGAAATGTAGAAATCTCCAACTACTGGCTGTAACACCACAAACATTGCTTTTTTGCACATTAGCAAAAGCAAGTGTTCATCAAGTTGAATTGCTGAGTAGCTGCTGCTGTTTGAGTTCTGAAAGCAGTTCTTCTTGGACATCTTGTGCCATGTCTTTAATAAAGCACGGAAAAGTGTTTTGAACAAAAGCATGCTTTTCAGTGCAATAGCGTTGCAGCATTGTGAGTCAACACACCTGATGGCCCCCCCCCCCCCCCCCCCCAACAAATCCTATATCAGTTACACAGAGAAAAGGATTTTTTTGCAATAGTTTTCTCTACTGCTGTCTAATTCAAATGAGTACCATATAAAAAGCTTGAAGGGCATTTCCTATTGATGCTGCTAGTTTGAGTAATCAGGTCTGGTGTATTTATTCAAAGTGTCAGGTTTTTGCTGGGGGGAAAAAAATCCTCAGAGTTATCATTTGTTGATGGATGCCTGATTTCTAAAAGTCACACCAACTTTAATCACCCACCCCTTCAGAACCCACTACAAGTTGTGTTTTTGAATCAGTCTGTGTAAAACTGTGAGTCATGCTTGTAGTCAGATTTCATCTGAAGTATAATTCGATTAATGTACATCACTTTGTGAAAAGGACATCTTTCTGAATCATTCCTGAGCTCCCATAAAGCATGAACAACCTCTGCAATGTAGTTGTGTTGGACACAGCAGTGCCTTCGTGATTATTCTTGACACATCTGGGCTGTCTCTACATTGGCAAGATTTTGCGCAAAAGCAATTGCAGAGTTGGAGCGGGGGCGAGAGGAGCAGGACTGACCCAGCCATATGTAGATCTCAGGGTGCTGTGTCCCCCTCCTCCCCCCGCAAAGCATGAGTGAGTCCAGCCTGGGGATTCTATTGTGCCCCCTCCACCCTCTCGAGTAGTTACGAACTGGCTGGCTGGTAGACACACTCATGCAGCCTGAGTACATCTAGCAGCCAGGCAGTTTGAAACTACAAACTGATACATCTAGTAATAATACAACTTACATAATGAGAAAATACCAGACATGTTATATGTCTGGTATTTTCTCAGTTTGTTTTTATGTTTATATTTTTCGGGTGCAAAAAACAGTACTGAAAAAAAGGGTTCCAACTAAAGTAAAAAGTTTGGGAAACCCATGTCTAACCAGCTTTCTGTCTCTTACACTCCATTTATCCAATCCATATTCTTTAACTTGATGACAAGAATATTGTGGGTGACTGTATCAAAAGCTTTGCTAAAGCTGGCACTGGGGGCTTTGGGAGGACCAGAAACAACTTATTTGAATATTCATCATTTGATTAATGAATATGCAAATGAATGTTACCAGTCCTCCAAAAGGTCGTGAATGGATTTACTGGTCCCCGTGTCAAAAAGTTTGGGAACCCCTGGTATAGCCGATTAACAGATAAGCAAACGCTCATAGATTAATGCTACAGACTACATGCACTTCCCTTCCCTCCCTGCCAGTAAATTTTTTAGCAGGCTGGCATTTTCTAATTAGGTAAGTTTTATTATTATTATTATTATTAGGTGTTTCAGTCCGTAGCTGCAAACTGCTTGGCTGGTAGATGTGCTCATGCTGCGTGAGTGTGTCTACCAGCCAGGCAGTTTGCAACTACTTGAGGGATGGTATTGGGGGGGAGGGCAAAATGGAATCCCTGGGGCTGGACTTACTCGTGTGCCTGGGTCTGCATGTGCCCAGGTCAGTCCCACTTCCCGCCGTCCAATTGCCGGCCCACGCTTCTCTTCCCAATCTCCCCTGGACAGCCTGCTGCCCCCATCCAGCCCTGCTTCCAGTGGCTGGTTCTCCAGTCCTCCTCCTCCCAATCTCCCCCCAGCCAGCCTTCTCCT